TCTTTAATCGTCACCCCCTCCCCAACACAAATGCTCACTTTGGAACCAAGCTGGTCTAAAACTTATGATCCTCCTGCCTCAGCCTCTTGGATGCTGGGATCCTAGGTCTGTGCTCTGGCTCATCTAATCACCCTCTTTAAGGTGGGTTTCCCCACCCCCTCATGGTCCCCACATATTTTCCCCCTTTTTTTCCTTACTGCATTAGTTACTTTTCTTGTTGTTGAGTCAAAATACCCAATGACAAGCAACTTAAGGGAGAAAAGGCTTACTTTGGCTCCTGGTTTGAGGGTACACAATCCATCATAAGGGGAAGGTATGGCAGCTGGAGCATGAGGCCACATCCCAGGAAGCCAAAGGAGACAAACATGGTACTCAGCTCACTTTCTCCTTTTTATTCAGCCCAGATCCTGGTGCAAGGGATGGTTCTGCCTACATTTAGAAGGGATCTTCTTTACTCAATTAATCCTTCCTGGAAACCTCCCACGCTCCCAAGTATGTTCCAGTTAATCTGGTGGTGATTATTAACCAATATATGTATACAAACTTCCCCTACTTCTTGGACTGGGCTTCTGTCTGCAGTATTAGAACATTTACCTATAATGCCCAGTAGTAGTGTAGAATGCCTTTAATCCCAGCATTTGATGGGGGCTTGGGGAGCAGAGGCAGTTGGATCTCTGTGAGTTTGAGGCCAGTCTGGTGTACAAGTTCCAGGACAGCTAGGGCTATTACATAGAGAATCCCTGTCAAACAAACAAACAAACAAATAAAAAACCAAACAAAACAATTACAAAAACCAAACAACAGCAACAACAAATCTCTAAATATAAATCTCTAGGGCCTAGGTCCTGTAGCTGAATTTCAGTTAAAGATGTGTGTGTGTGCCGGGAACTTTCTGTGTTAACTTGAAGACTCTTAACCATGCCATGGAAGGTAAGTGTTCTTAGAAGTCTGCAAACTCCATCTACAGTTCTACAGTCCCCAAGAGCTCAGAAACCCAAAGTGTTTCCTTAAAGTTGGTAATAAAGCTGACAAGAACATTCTCATACTTAACTTGAATGGCCATTCCCTTTGTATTTTCAGAAACTGACTTGTTCTGTGGGCTGAAAGATGCCCCCAGAGGAGTCCTAAATTGTATGCCAATTGCTAATGTTCTGTTACTATGGGGACGGTAGCTTTATGTACAATCCAAACTCAGGAAGCTAAGGCAGGAAGATTGCCAAGAGTTTGAGGCTAGACTGGTTTATAAAGTGAGTTCCAGTTTGGAATACAGAGTGGGACCTTATGTCAAAATAAAGGACAAGAAAAAATTATGGGTGCTGGTGGCATGTGCCTTTAATCCCAGCACTAGGGAGACAGAGGCAGGTGGATCTCTATGAGTTCCAGGCCAGTCTGGTCTACATAGAATTCCAGGCCAGCAAGGGCTACAATATGAGACTCTGTCTCAAAACCAAAAGAGGAAAGAGGAAAACAAAACAAAACAACAGAAAGATCTTCAAGGGAGCCCAGTGAAACAGATAGCCTGAGAATCTGATTTTGGATTCACAGCACCAATGTAAAAGCCAAGCACGATCACACATCTATGACTCTAGCATGGGGGTTGAGGGTTGGAGATAGGTGGATCCCTGAAATTTGCTGGCCAATCTGTGAATTTTAGGTTCAGTGACACACTGATACACCCTGTCTCAGAAGATTGATAGGGTGAACAGAATTTAAGACACTCAACACCAACACACACACACACACACACACACACACACACACACACGTTATGTATACATATGTGAAGGCAGGGTTGAAATGAGTTCACCAGACAAAAGATAAATGATAAGTAGGTGTTTTATTAGGGAAGAACTTACACAGATAAGAGTAATAACCTCTGTGGCCTTCCTGCTCCAGGAGATGCAGTCTCTGCCCTTCCGATGATTTCCAAGACCCAAGAGAGTGTGTGCCCACAGCTCCTCTACCTTAAAGGGGTCACCTGAAACCATGCCCAAATGGTGTGGCCACTATTACACATTCACTGGCAAGATGCCACTATAATTCCCCTTTTTGTCTAAAGAAGAAGGTTTAAGCCTGATACAAAAACTATATACAATGATAACAAATGTCAAGTATATTCCAGGAGAAGGAAAGGTAAAAACATACACAAATTAAGACCCACAACCAGCAAGAGCAATATTGAGCAATAGACACATTCTACATGTGCAGTTTCAGGGTAATGGCATATAACAAAGATTACTCTAATAGCTGTCCTAATCTGGAAAGTCTAAGTCTTGTACCTAGTATTTTCTATCTAAGATAAGAGAGGATATTATCTGTGACTGTCTAGCCTTCAACCTCATTAAAGACCTGAGAAGGACAAGAACATTACTAGGGTAGGCAGGAAGTGCAAGTGTGTGACTTCCTAAAGGTGCAAGAGAAGACAGAAACAGCAGGCTACCTGGACAGTCACCCAAGGTCTCACAGTAATGTCCAGACAACCAACTTTGGCTAAGGCCTAGAGTATCAGACAGACCATCTCAGAAGGAGGGAAATTGAAAGACTGTCTTACCCTGACTTGGCAAGGTTTAGCAGTTTAAGTTTATCTCCTGCTAGCCCAGTTAGGACAGCGTGTCCAAAGTCAGTTGTTGCAGTGGGGGCAGTTCTTTGCCCAAGAGGCCAGTAGCCAAGAAGAGAACAAACTCCAAATGGAGTGTCATTGGTGTCTATCATACTCTCGGGAATAAGTTGGTGCTGTCAGGAGCAATTATGTCTCATGTCAACGGAGTTTTAAATTATTAAAACATTTAAATGCCATATTCTGTAGGTCTTTGAAGTGTCTGAAGATCAAATATCTATGTTGGGTACATCTTTGAACACATATAGAACCTCACTAACATCATTAGGTATAAGAAGCATGGGTAACTATAATCTGTAATTTTCAGAAACATAATTGCTCAGTGACTGAAGCTTCCCAAAATAATTTAAACAATCTTAAAACTGGTGTGTAGCATTAGGACAATGACCTCAAATTTGTAAATTTAAACATATATATGTAAATTTCTAAAATAGAGGTAGAACTGAAATGTCTTGACTAGAGGTAGAACTGTATAGTGCAACATAATAAAAATATCCTAAATTATATCAATATACAAAATATCTCAAGCATATGTAGAAGCATACATACATAGAATATGGTAAAGAAAGTTTTATATTTGTGCACAAAACATCATAAACAGAAAGAAGAAGTCTACATAGTATGACAAATATAATATACAATTATCCAAAACAGGAATACAAAGTTAATTTTACATAAGTTTTAACATATAAGAATCGGTAACAATGTAAGTTGTCTATAGCTAATAGTTGCTAAAATAATTCACAAGAAGATATGTTAATCTCCATCTTCACATATACACACACATATCACACACATATTCACACTTATTTTTATTTTATGTGCATTAGTGTTTTACTATGGGTGTCAGGTCCCCTGAACTGGAGTTACAGACAGTTGTGAGCTGCAAGTGGGTGCTGGGAATTGAACTCAGTTCCTCTGGAAGAGCAGTCAGTGCTCTTAACCTGTGAGCCATCTCTCCAGCCCCCTTACACACATTTTTAAAAGACACCCCCCATGCTAGCAGCTTGAAACATTACATTTGTTACTTTGCAGTTTGTTAGGCGCCTTGGAGCAGTATACCTGGGAAATAAGGTACAGGAACTTCTCTGAGATGGAAGCCAACATATGAGCTGGGCCTGCAATCTCTCTGAGACCTCACCGGGGCCAGATGATTTAGTTCTAAACTGGTTCCTTCACTGAAGTGGACAAACTGGCTGAGTCAATAGACAAAATGTGTCTCATGGCTTTGCTACAGCGGTCTCCCACCACCATTTCCCCCAGCGGCCTCTCAGTTACAGACATCAAGTACTACTACTTTTTGTATGGGGGCTGTATGCATGGATACTGGGAAGAGGCCTCCATTTTAGAGGGTGGTTACCTCAGTCATACGTACCTACCTAAAACCAAAGCTTTTGAACTCCAAACACATATGACCCAGAGTGTGTTGGAAGTTTCTGGGTTGTTTGGTGTTTATTTTTGTAGTTCACAATTGGGATCAAAAGCACTTACCCCAGGCTACATATGGCACTAACAGTGAAGACTTAAAAGCACAAATCAGCTCTGGGCTAGGGTTCTTTTGTGTGGTGCCCTCCCCTGCCCCTTCCTCTTTATCCTGCTGCTGCCTCAGTCAGTCAAGATGTACTCTTCATGGCCAATTAAATGTTGTTTTGCTTATTTGTTTTGTTTTTTTGAGACAGGGTTTCTCACATAGATCCACCTGCCTCTGCCTCCTGAGTGCTAAGATTAAAGGCATGTGCTACCACTGCCCTGCTAAAATGCTTTCTCTTTTAAGCTGCCTTGGTGGTGGCATTTTTGTCTCAGCAATAGAAAAGAAACAGACACACCCATTCTCTAGTGCCACAACACCCCTACCACGTAGGGAAGACAGTATCTTTTCTGAACAGGAGTCTTGGCTCTGAGGACTAAAAAGGAGCTGACCATAGGTAAGCCAGGTGTGCCACTCCCAGTGTTCATCCCATAAATACTTGGCAGGGAGGGTCTAGCTTTGCTTATAGTTTGATACTGCAAGTGGGTGAGTTTCTACAGGCTCAGCCAGACCTTGTCTGTGGACCACACCAGGGGAACAGACAGGATGCTGAGCACAGGAGACTGAGCAAAGAAGGAGAAACACATCCTCACATGAAGGGACCCCCATGAGACCTTATCTGTTCTAAGAACAGCTTCTAGGACTAAGGCAGTTCTAACTCGAATTTAGGGGTACTCTGGGGTCTGGTGGCTGGCTCTGGGACCCAGCAAGCATTCTGGATGGGAAGTCCTCTCTGAGCTCAGTGTCCCTACGTGACGAAACGCAAGCCAAGTCCCTGGAGAGGAAGGAGCCCAGCCAATGAAACCTTAACTACACCCCACGTCCAATGTTTGAAGTAATTTGATTTATTTGCTTTCCTTCAGCAGCTGTGGCAGAGGAAACCGAACCCCAAACCCTGGTCGCAGACTGGGTCTGACTCCGGGAAAATTTCACAGACGGAGGGAATAGGGTCGCCGCGACTGTAGGCCTAGGATAGCCCCCAGAAGGAAGCCTCAAGACAGGGTAGGACCGATGAGTGGGAGGGGGCGGAGTCAGACTCCGGGCAGTGAGTGAGGCGGAGCCAACTGTGGGTGGGGGCGGATTAGGCTCCGGGGGAGTGGGCGGGGCGAGGCGGGAAAAGTTCCGGGAAGGCTGGGGGTGGCTCCCGCTAGGCGCAGAAGTTCGAGGATCCGGGGTCCCCGAGAAGGTCCACAGCCATGTCGTCTGGGGATGCAAGGACTGGCAGACAGGACGGTGCCCCGCGCGCGGCCGCCGCGCTCTGTAGCCTGTACCACGAGGCCGGCCAGCAGCTGCAGCGCCTGCAAGATCAGCTGGCCGCGCGCGACGCCCTTATCGCGAGCCTCCGCACCCGCCTAGAGGCTCTGGAAGGGGACACGGCGCCGTCGCTCGTGGACGCGCTTCTGGATCAGGTGGAGCGCTTCCGTGAGCAGCTGCGGCGGCAGGAGCAAGGAGCCACCGAGACTCAGCTGCGCCAGGTTCGGAGCGGGCGCTGCTGCCCCGGGAGGCCTCGGGAGCTTGTTGGAGTGTAGCCCGAGTCCGGTCCTGATGGTCGCGCTGATGATATGAGGGTGCGAGGATATGAGGCGTGTGGTGCGGGTCTGAAGAGCGTGAGGTCCAGAGGCATGGGCGTCTAGGGGGAACGCGGGGGTCTGAAGGGAGCAGGGTTGTGAGGGGCACGAGGTCCTGAGACTCAAAGGGTCTGAAGGGCGCGGGGGTCTGAGACACAGGGAACCCTGAGGGGGGGTCTGAAGGGCGAGAGTATGTGGAGTCCAGGGTCCTGAGCGGTTGGAGATTCATTTAACGCACAGAGGTGAGCAGGTGTCTCTGGGACACAGGTTTCTGGTGAGCACCAGGGTGTTAGGGATGCGGACATTTGAGAAGTACCCGGTCCTCAGGGGCTCAGGTTATGAACAGTTCCGAGGGACATATAATGGAGGTAAGTTTGGGAGAGACCCCCTGGGTCTGTCGACTTTGAGGGGCACTGTTGAGGTAAACTTGCTCATGAAGTTCTGTGTGGCAGATCTGAGGAGCAGGAGGTCATCCTGGAATGCAGGGATCTGTGGAGCTTGAGGTACTGAGGTAGTCTTGAACACATGGTTCTGTTGGTAGTTAGCTTCTCCAATCTGTGCTCCAGACCCCAAAGGGGTGTGTAGCTGTTTTCATCACAGCTCTGTTGCTTTCAAGAGATATCATGACCGAAGCAACTCTTATAAAAGAAAGCATCTTTTATAAGAGGGGGTTGATTACAGATTTAGAGGGGTTATTATCATGGTGGGGAGTATGGCAGCTCGAAAGCAGGCATGGTGCTGGAGTAGTAGCTGAGAGCTACATTCTGATCCCTAGGCAGAGAGAGACAATGGGCTTGGTGTGGACTTTTGAAACCTGAAAGCCCAGCCCCAGTGACACAGTTCCTCCAACAAAGCCACACCTCCTAATCCTTCTCAAATAGTGCCATCCCCCCAACTAAGCATTCAAATATATGAGTCCATGGGGGCCGTTCTTATTCACACAGCAGGGCACTTGGTTTGAAGGAGATGGAGTTCTGAGCAGGGCTAATGTTCAGGGTTCAGAGGGTGCAGGGTTTAAAGGGACACTATAGGTTCTGAGGCATGGAGCCTAGAGCGTCTCAAGGACATACAGGCATTGCTTTTTGACAATGTGTGTAGGTTCCAGTGTGTATGTGTGTTGAGTTGTGGGAATGCAGGTTTTGTGTATTGTGTTCTGTCTTAGGGAGGTCTTCTGTAGAATGTGGGTTTCTGAACCTTGTTTGGGGCGCCAGGGACCTGGGAGATGCAAGGGTTCAAGGGATGGAGCTCTGAGAGAGAAGACCCATGCCTTTGATTGGTGGCTTTTAGTATTATATTGCAAGAAGTGACAGGAAGAGCCTGTCAAGTATGTGATAATTTGTAAATTCTTTGGTTCTCCTTGTCATTTGGTGTTATTTGGCTTCTGTGAGATACCATAAGCATACAAAACTGAACCAAGGGAAATGTTTTTCTTATAAATGTTATTTGTAAATCAGACACCCTCCCCCGACATTTGGATTCATACTGGCATGTTACTGCATTTGGTCCATAGCTATCCTGGTTTTCCCAGCAAAGAAAGTAAGCCTGCCTGTAAGGAGAATGTTTGTTTCCAAGATTTCACCACCACAGCTAGATTTTTCTTTCTTTCTCCTATTCCTACTCCCTTTGGTGTTAGGGATTGACTTAGAGCCTCACACATTCTAGGCAAGTACTCTACCATTTAGCTGCATCTCCAGTTCTCTTTTTACTTTTTAGTTTGAGACCTGGTCTCACTAAGTTACACAATCTGACCTTAAACTCACTGTGAATCTCAGGAAGGCCTTGACTTTGGATCCTCCTGCCTTAGTCTCCCAAGTAGATGGTATTACAGGACTTTGCCACCAGTTCTGGCCACATCAAAATTTAAGAGGGAAAAAATGCATTTTTTTTTCTGATGGTAAAATTCAGAACATCTGAAAAATAAAGGCAAGAATAAAATAATCCCACATGCTTTTTGCACATGGCTTGCCTGTTTTTCCTTTGCAAAGACATATATTCTTGGTATTGTTGAGTTGACCTTTATTATACAGATTTACTTTCTATTACATTGTCATTGTTTTCTATATGTATTATTTAAAGCACCAAGAGCATCCAGATGTCTTCCACTCCACTTCTCCCTCTTTCTGGAAGGAGAGTTGTAAAATAGAGCAGAAGGGAAATGTAGAGTTTACCTCGTCTGTGCCACTAACTTAGTGTTGTGCACATCAGAAGCCACAGATGAGTACAGAGTGGAGCTCTGAAGACACCCCAGAATGTGTTATCAGAATATCAGTGGGAACAGTTGGGGTAAAAGAGCTCCCCATAATCATAACAGAACTGAATTTGCAGCCTGGCAGCCATTGGTGTTCAGTGCAGATGCATCCACAGGAAGCTCTCTAGAGGCCCAGACAGAACCAGTCTGTGGTTCCAGTACTACTGGTCCTTCGTCCTCTGACATATGGGTTTTGTTCAGGGATTTTAAGACTTATTTGCAATTTTATTTAGGAAATTTTGTTAACATTGTGGTGACTTTAAATGTTACAAAACTATTGCATGGCTTCTTAGTTTGCCAAAACAAATTGACTAAATGTATTAGCAGTAGACATATGTATCAAAAATTACCCTGTCAAAATAACTCTGAACAATCTGAGCAATGGTGGCACATACCTTTAATCCCAGTGCTCAGGAGGCAGAGGCAGGTGAGTTCGATGCTGGCATGGTCTACAAAGTGAGTTCCAGGACAGTCACACAGAGAAACTTGTCTCAAAAAACAAACATAACAAACAACAACAAAACAACCAAAACAAAACAATCCTGTTCATTTTCATTTCAGAGTTGTTTTTTTCTATGATATAGCTTCTTTGGTCATGTGGTTTGCAGAGGTATGCACAAGATAAGGCTAATGTAACTAATATAATACATTAGTTATTAATGGAATACATTCTATGACTATATACTAGTAACTGTCTTAGTTACTTTTCTGTGAAGAGATACCATGACCAAGGCAACTTGTAAAAGAAAGAATTTAATTGGGGTTTTGCTTACAGTTTCAAGGATGAATCCATAACGATCAGATAGGAAGAGAGGCAGCAGGCAGGCATGGTGCTGAGCAGTAGCTGAGACCTGCATCTGATCCACAGGCAGGTGACAGAGGAAGAGACTGGGCTTGGTGAAGGCCCCCATCCCAAGTGACTGGCATACCTTTTCCAACAAGGCCACGCCTCCCATTCCTTCCCAAAACAATTTCACCCAACGAGGGACCAAGTATTCAAATATCTGAGCCTATGGGGGCCATTCTCATTCAAACCACAGTAACTAATGTAATACATTCCATGATGACAAATATGTGTGAGCACAGTTTTGGCAAATGTCAAAGAGACTATGTGCTTGTCATATCAATGCAAATGCAGTAGCACTTTTAAATTTCTTACCATCTTTTTCTTACCTCTTAATGGCATTATATTCTACTAGTAAATGCAACATGGTTATGCTTTAAATCATTTGTTCTTCATCTGTAACAAAGGAAAATAACTGCAGCTGGCCTTAATTTTAAAATCTAATAATGTGGGTCTAGAAAGAAGCTCAGCAATTAAGAGTACATACTGTTCTTGTAGAGAACCCAAGATTGGATCACAGCATCAAGAGGCTCACAAGTGCCTGTAACTCAAGCTTCAAGGTTTTGTTTTGTTTTTGTTTTTTTCATCCTCTCTGGCCTCCATAGTAACTTGAATGCATATATACATACTCACATACAGATACATAAATTAAAATAAAAAGCTGTTCTGGGCAATGGTGGCACACACCTTTGATCCCAGCACTTGGGAGAGGCAAGTGGATCTCTCTGAGTTTGAGGCTAGGTCTACTTGAAAAACAAACAAATAAGTAAATATAAAATGCTGGGCATGGTGGTGTATGTCTTTAATCTAGAACCCCCACAGCAGAGGCAGGTGGATCTTTATGAGTTTGAGGCAAGCCTGATCTACAAAGTGAGTTCTAGCTAGAGCTACATAGTGAGGTACTGTCTCAAAAAGCCAAAGTAGAGTTCCAGAACAGCCAGGGCTACACAGTGAAACCCTCAGTCTTGAAAAATTACCCCCCCCAAAAAGCCAAAATAAATGAATAAATAAAGTCTAAAAGAAGGAAATAGGGTTGACAAGATGACCCAATGGGTAAAGGCAGTTGCCATCACCACCAAGCCTGATGACCTGAGCTTGATCCCAGAACTTGTGTGGCAGGAGAGAACAGAGTCCTGCAAGTTGACCTCCACATTCATGCTAAGTCATTCAGGCTTTTCTGCACTCTCTCTCTCTCTCTCTCTCTCTCTCTCTCTCTCTCTCTCT